CACGAATATCCCAAGAATCTTGCCGTATCCTTGCCTTCTCGTGCTTTCGGTCTTCGATGGTGTAGCTTGGGTGAGGCCTCGACCAGGACTCTAGGCTGGCTACTCTTGGGGACTGCATGGGCCGAGCCTTCGTCGCTTCGCTTTGGCAGGCATCTCCCCTCTTGGCTTCATGCTCTCGTCCACGGCCCTCATGCACGCAGGCAAGCGCCGACGAGGACGTGACATGGCCTGGGACGGAATGGGCGAACACATTGGATGCAACGATGCAGCACGACAGCTGCAAGACGCTGTCCAACGACAGCTCCGATTCGGAAGATGAGCGCCCTACCTCCGTGTTATCTTTTACAGCATGCATGAGCCCTGCCCCCCCAGATGGGACAGTTCCGATACATGGCCGTACCCTGAAAAAAGGAAACGCCCTCCGTCAGTGTGAATGACAAGCAATGTTGAGTTTCTGGTGGCAAACTCCGAAGTAGTCCCAAGCGGAATGCGCTTTCTTTCCCGGAGCATGTTCGCCCTCCACGTGTGGAGCTGTTGGGCTTCTCGTGTGACGAATGTGCGCAGCGAGGAATGCGAGGGCCTCATTTTGAACACCAGCCACCCTCCATCAATGTAGCCGTGGAACACTTCGTAAACTAATGCGCGTGGCGCTCAGGCGAGAGCCATATCCCGAACGAACGACTCTGCGAAGGTGGTTCGGTGTATGCGATCCTTGGGCCTTCCCTGGCAACGGGCCACTCTCACTTTCCACAAACCTTGGCTGCAAAATCTAGAAGCCAGGCTGGCAGAATGCAATTTCCAGCGTTGGGTGCTCGGGACATTTTTCTCTCGAAACATGTCTGAACCGTCCCGCCGATACGGGTCGCGGCGCCTTTCGTCCGTTTGAGATGACGGCGTCCGGGACATGGCGCCTGCGCTAATGAAGAACGCGTGTGTGTGCGTGCATGTTTTTGTGTCCATGTTTCTTGTTTGTTTGTTTGTCTGTGTGTGAATGTGGGATCCCCGTGCCCAACATTATTTGTTCATGACATTCTATACGCCTTCATCATCCGCGCCGTGCCGTTGAGCATGACGTGCCGTGCTGTTGAGCATGTAACGCGCCGTGCCGTTGAAAATGCAACGCGCCTGGGGGGTGAGGGGATTGCAGCACTGTTGGTTCCCCGACGGAGAGCGGGGCCGATTAAGGTTACTTCTCATCATGTATCTCAACCTTGAATGGCCCCCCCCGAGAGACCAATGCTGATGTAAGAGACAGCACCTCCCATACACAAGGAATTTTCATACAATCAAGACCCGTAGTAAGGATGCAAGGTAAGGATACAAGACCCTGGGAAGTTCCATAGCCATTTGGAGCTCTTTGGACGTCAACACTGGCCCACGATAGGCCGACTGAGTCGGAATTTATTTTAACTGCGGAATTCTCGTCTGCTGCTGCTGTGGGCGGAGGAGAGATTGTCGAGAAGACACGAGGTCTCGACCAAAAAGCCTTACCCTCCCCAGGCCGTCACGCCAGGCTGGACGCGTCTTTGGGTGGCGGAGTGCTTCAATTGCCCTCTGGCCTCCCTGAACGGCGTCGCTGTTTAGGCCATGATTGAAAACATCGCCGCTGCTCATCGTTTGCTGGTCGCCGCCGTCGTTGCACGTGGCAACTCGCCCTGCACGAAGAACAACGCATGATGCATTAATTTATTCGGCAGG